TTTGCCCACTTACAAAGAATGCTTATTTTTCCTCATCAGATGGTTATCAATTTTTATAAATTCCTATGATGTGATTTTCTGGAATTTTCTTTGGGATTCTGTCTTTCACTGTTAGAATGTACAAATGATTAAAGTTATAGATCGTTGCATTCTTTGTAAGTGGGCAAACCTGCAAAATCAACAAGGGGTCAAATACTTATTTCCCCCACTGTATATCTATATACTGTTGTATTGCTGGAGTTGGAAACAAAAATCATTTCCCTCTGGGATTATAAAAGTATTTCTGATTCTGATAATATTTGCAACATAAACATAAACAAGCACCGAGAGCCTCCAAACAAATAAGAAATCATCTGTTTCCGTATCTGTAGGAGCCTGATGTCCATCACAGGTAAATAAAAAGCCAGAGCATGCTCAAATCCTCATCTGAAGACATCACTGACATCAGTTAATCTTTGGAAACCAAACAAAAAAATGCTTAATATTTGGATCGAGTGGAGATGTCTTCAAGTAACCCCTCACATTTTTCTTTCTGCCTCTTCACAGGAAGATTACAGCAGGCTGGAGAGGACAGAAGGAGAACAGGTAATTGCTCTCATTTCCGCCGCAGACAAAAGCTGACCTGCAGTCTGCTCTCAGATTACCGACTGTCACTCAAAGTCTGCAAGGCTGCAGGAAAGAAACGCTTCCCTCTCTTTTTCCCCACGATGACGACCAATCTCTGGATATTATGAGTGTTTTTACTTCCAAGAACTGCAATTGACAGATGGCTTCTATATATTATTAATTTATTTACAGGTTTATTTATTTACAGGACTTGGACCGGGAACGTTTAGCTGTGAGATGATGGTGCTAAATAGCGTTTTCCACTGTGTAGGCCTCAAATCAGTTATGGGATTAAAAGAAATACATGGAAAAATGAGCAATTTGGATTCCAACAACATACCCAAATCTAGTTGGTAGAGAGGCAAATCAACAACTATTTACAGAATATGACAGAATATTCTGTAAATATTGAATGAAAATAAAAGGAGAATCCACCAAAAGCTTCATCTCCCAAATTTAGGAATTCTGTATAAAAACATTACCGATAAAAACCGAAAAAAAACTTCTTTTTTTTGTATATCTCCACAGCACAATATTGTGATTGTGACTCAGGAAGTCAGACCAAATATTACGGTAAACAGGCTTAAGGCCAGGAACTCAGAGAGCCCTGTAGGATCTCAGTACCTTACAAAAAGAAAACTTTCCCTACATAGAGATTAATCTAAGATAGACAAAAGCGTTTCCTGTTGCCAGATGAGTTTGTGTCACAGCCAAATGTCAGTTTCTAAATAAGGTCAAAGATCAGTGAGGCCATAAAGGCATAAATCCTGTACCTGTGACTATATGAGGGTTTATTGGCATCTATGTACCTGGTGACGCATATGTGTGATGGTACCATCAATTAAAGAAGCAGGTTAGACTTTTGGACACAGTTCCTAAGCGGAGGTGCTGTGAACAGATTCCTGATCATTCCTGGGAATGAACTTTTCAGGCTATTCCTACTGGTTCCCAACTTATTGTTCGATTTTTGTTTTAGTTTTTAACCACAATGGGCTGATATGAGCATGTTACAGATCTGTGCAAAGGTGAGATGGTGAGTTCAGCCTGAAAATACAGTGTGAGTGTATCACACCTCTGGAGCTGAATCTGCTTACTTGGCTTATTGTGTCAGCAAACAGCTAGCATAATACTAGCATGATAAGATCGATCTGATGAGTGAATTACAGAACATAAGCAGCAGCGGCTTAGCGCTGTTTCCTTTTCTGGCTGATTTAATGAGTGAAAAGTCAAGTGACAATACTTTTCTTTGCACTTGAATCCATTGACAGGAAGGTCACAACATCAGATTTTTTAAATACGGTTATCGTTTCCAAAATAATTAACAATGACATAATAACATTTTTAAAAATTCAAATGAAAAGGCAGATAAAAACAGGGAAAAATAGTACAAAAAAGTCATCTAAAAAAAATACTTTCAATATCAACCTGGTGACGCATATGTGTAATGGTAATATTACTGTATTTGACTATTTTCTTAAGGTCTAAATTACGGTAGTTAAATCATTGATTCCCATTTTTGTTTCAGTTTACAAATGCATGCCATCTCTCCTTGACCAGAGGTGTGTGAGCTTTTCTAACTGTACCTTTGAGTGGGTGTATTTTGTGCTCGTGTGTGTAAATATCTGCGGCTTTATGTCACACCGGAGTCTTCTCCC